ATCAACACTAAAATTATGTTGTGATGTTTCTTCCCAAAAACTATTTTGAGTGAGAAAAAGTTCCTCGTCGCTATACATGCTGTCCATAATGACAGCACGAAAACAGAGAAATGAGTTGTTGGAAAACATTCGTACTCATTCGCACAAAAAATAGTAAAGAAGAGCAAAAACAAAATATCAAACACTAGAACATAAACAAAAAACAAAGAAATTGCACTGCTAAGTCCCTTGTGGACTCGACAAAATGTAAAAGTACAAAAAAGTCTAGCGCTTATCACGGAGGAATTCGCAACAACTTTTCACAGTCCTGTGAGGAACGCACAAATCAGGTTGCTTTCATAGTATCTGCTTTAATCCGACGAAAGTGTGACCGTACTAATTAGCCGGTGTTTGGCCCCTTGAAGAAAGGATCGTTATATAAAGATCCCCCATGAATGATATCATGAAATAAGTCAGACAAATACCTCGAACGTCGTTATTAATCGATAGACATTCCTCGGCCCTAAGGCTCTCGGGATGTATATGGATTAATACCTCCGTTTTCGGTATTTATCTCTTCCACAAAATACTTGTATTTCAAGTTCAACGCAGACTTTTTTTACATCGATCTGCGGGTAATGATTTTTAATACGCTGTATCATATTTTACTTGCATGTATCTACGGTTAAAGTTGCACGAAGCGGTCACCCATGCTTTAAGTGACTGTTCAGTACAGGTGGAAGAAGCGCATATCGGCCGTTGGAACTCAATCAAAGGTGACCACGACTGCTGAATAGAGATGGAAATGACTGTAATTAAGGGGAGAGAAATTCGGGACGGTGATAACAGGGTGACTGCTTAATACGGTGCCGCTTTATACAGGTTCGACTGCACTTACCTGTTGTTACTGTAAATACTTGGCACTGCTATTGATAACTATATTTATCATATAAACTGCGGTGTTCTACAAGGATTTCCGGCCCTGAGAAAAGCTGTAACAACACACGTGAAAAAATATCGTTTTTTTCACGAGTGTTGATATAGCCAATCAGCTGCTTACATAGCGCCACTCGGTCAGGTTGATGAATGAAAGGCAAAGCCTTCACGATTCTCAATACAAGTTGTTTGTCGGAGTTTTCTCGAATTATGGCGGCTAAAACACTAAAAAATCCGTATCGCTGGCAGAGAATGAGGTTCAAACTTTCCTAGAAAGGGAAGAAAACCAATATACTAAAAGAAAAACCGAAAATTGCATATTCAGTGGCTTTGGTGTTAGCATTTCTCTCGTCTGAGAAGGAAAATAGACAACTGGAAGATTTGCCACTAGCCGATTTTGGCCGTTTACCTGAAAGACTTCTTCCGTCGGTTGTTTTTGTAATCTTTTTGTAATCTTGATTCAAGGCATTTTACCATCTTAAGAGTCAGCGCCAACGCACTCTACCATTGTTATTCGAGGACTGTCGATTAATTTATTTTCATTCATTCATGAAGTCGGCTTTCTTCCAAGTAAAGGGCTATTGTTTATCTGATAAACAAAATAATACATGGGCGCGCGTAGATATGGAACTTCTCTTCTCGTGTTCAACTCGACATCTCACTCGTTCGCTGCGCTCAATCGTGATTTACCGAGTTAAACACTCGAAGAGAAATTCTATATCTATGCGCGCCCATGTATTATTCTCTATTTAACAATTGGTTAATATGTCAGCGTGCGTTCATCGAGATATGAAGCACGCGGGAAGTTTGGAGAGCACGAAAGATGCGTAAGAGTCTCTCGAGGCTACGCACAGCTGACGTATGAACCAATTGTTTTATAACATTGTAAAGTAAATGGTTTGAACTCAGAAGTATCAGTAGTTCGTGTAGTGTGATCGTCCGGGTGAGTGTAGTTCTGAAAAGAACTGTTGTTGCTGACTGACGTTTCGACTACCTGTGCGGTAGTCATCTTCAGAGTCAAGTGAAGAGTAGTTGTCAGTCGATGATGTTATAAAGTCTGGTTTGTTGAACGTGATTGGTCTGTTTAGCCGTGATGTGATTGGCTGGAAGACTCGTATAGAGTTTGTTAACAGTCATTAGTCGGTTTCGATCCGTCTGTTGTTAGTCGGTCTGTTTGTCGGTTTGTTCACGTCGTTAATGAGTCGTTTGTAAGGTGCTGGTAATTGTTGACATCTGTTGAGAGGCGTCTGTTCTAAGTTAGTAAACCAGCTTTCCAGAATCAGTCGTGCACAATAGGAATTTATATTAAAGTTCGGATATAACGCGCGCTTTCATTGGTTGAAAGAGCGTACTCTATGAGAGTATAAAGCATAGAGTTGAGCTAAAGCTGTCACGCCATCTGCCAATTGTACTATGTTCGAGCTTTTCCGGGACTTCTCTTTAGCTTTTTTCCGATAATTGGAAGTGAAATTTCGGAACTGAAGCGAGCCGGCAAGTAGCAACAGAAGAATCAAACAAAGGTTTGTAATAATACCAGGCGCCGTAATTTACGTTATTAAAACGTGAGCAGATACGAAAATCCAAAAGGAAAAACAAAATAAACATTCCGAGTTTTAAAGATTTTCACGCTCAGTTAGATTGCAAGCTTACGTACGGTAATAAAAATCAAACACAGTTAACACTCGTATAGTATATAAAGTTCAGTGTTCAAAAACAAAACAGAACAAAACAGAAATGATGAAAAATATAACCAAGCTGGCATAATTGTTAAAATTCATAATAATCATGACAGTGTCTGAGCGAATATGATCATGCTGAAGTTCATCGCGGCTCGCTCATCATGGCGATCTCCGGTCATCACGGTAAAGCAAGCCTCAGAAACTACATCGGCCGCCCTTCAAGCGAAAAAATGAGAGCTTGCTCTGCTTTCCTTTCCGATACGTTGAGTGGAAAGTCACATTAGTCACTGCAGCCTAGTTTTGCCGCGCTGTCATCACGAGCAAGAAGAAGAAGTGAAGAAGAAGTGGGAAGAAGTGGGAAGACTACGTCTCGTGTTTCTCCCTACACTTCTTTCGTGCTCTAGCCGCTTCCTGCGTGCTCTATAACAGAACAGAGCACAGTCAAGGCTTCTCTATTTGTTAAATGAAGCACGCTCGCGCAATTGAATTTGATTAGACAACTTTACTAGCTATGTCATAATGCCTTTTGATAAGAAGAACATAATGTCATGGACAAGGTGATTGTTTTAAACAAGGCCAATTAATAAATAATGTTACATACTGAGTTTCTAAACAAAACAAATGTAAGGATGAGCTTGTGAGAAAACAATGAAATAAAAATAAACCATGTGAGTCAACATTGAATATCACCTGCTATGTGTGAAGAACTTTCTTTTTATGAGGAAAAATATATTGAAAATAAAAAAATGTCCTTTACTTTATCAATGAGGACCATAGAAAGAAAGAATTATAAGGAGGCAAGGTTTCTTGTAACAACTATTAGTGAAGGTAATTACATGATTTCGAGTGCAATTTGGAATAAATAAGAAGGAGTAATTTTTTTCAGAGACTAACAAAATTGCACGAGCCCGTTGGGCGAGTGAAATTTGTGGTCTTTGAAATAATTAACAAGTGTTTATTTATTCCAAGTTGCACTCGAAATCATGTGATTACATATCAATAATATACATGAAAAAATACGAGATACGTTAATAATTTATCAAAATTATGCAGAAGCAAAGCACGCGCATCAAGTGCAAAAGTAGTTTATTTAAACTCGGCATTGTGCGTTCGGTCAAAACAACCGTGTGCGATCAAAACAATAATATACAATAATATTTTTACACCTCAAGGTGCAAAAAAGTTCAAAGTCCGGTCAAACAGTTCAAGGAATTGTTCAGTCTGGTTTGTTACTTCTTGCACTGAATTAACCCTCTTCTGCACTGAATTACCTGAAAACTACATTTATCTTAACCAATCAGAATTGAGTAATTTTTTCATGTATATCCATGATCACAAAATAAACTTTACCTTTACCAAATAATCATATTACACTAACTGCATAAGCGCATCGTATGTCAAGAGTCTATTTCTCATATCTTCCTTTCCTACTTGGTAGTGTTACGTGAACGGACAAGATAACGCCACTGAGACAGAGTCACCGCAAGTTAAAACATGTACGTGGAAAGTGGGTATAAGGGTTTCACTGACGACACAAACAGTGAGGTACTGGGGCCCTAAAGTTATATAATATTTAGTTTGCGGTCCCTTTTTTGCCCAAAGGTCAAGGCGTACAAATGACTTACGTTGGCCGATGATAAAAGCGATGTCATGAACTAGATAACTGGCTGTTTTGGTTCGAACACTAGACGCGAATTAGGACTTCACGCTTAAGTGCAAGAGTATTTCTCTGTCTCCATAACACTGTATATTTTATCATCACCAAGGCCGATGACTTCATGGGTGAAAAAGACCTCACTTTCGAAATGATTCCCTTACGTATCATGACCATTCTTCTTGAAGTTTTAGAACACTTTCTTAGGGAAAAAGTTGTTAATTCAATATTCAAGATCATTTTATTAGCGGACAAATACTGAGTCAAAATGTGATTTATAATGTAATTAATGATATTTGCGTAATAAGACTTCTTATCCTGATCGGCTGGGAGAAATACAGTTTTCAGGTAAAATAACAAAGAAGAGCGGTAATTAATTGCAAAGGAAGTGACAAATGATTTTGTCACGGCTGAAACATATTTAGAAAATTGTAATTTTACTAGCCTGCGTAGCTGTCAGTTTTCTTCGAGCTCCCTGGCATTTTCATTTAATCTACTAATAAAACGAATAATAGCGATTTTTCTGAAATTTTGATTTAATAAAGTCCAAGGCTAATAACTAAGTCCAAATTTCCGTTCTTTTATTCACCTCTTTCTCTAAATAAGCTTACACTGTCGAAGACGACGCATTCTTATAAGATAAATTCCGATTCTTGGAAACTAAAGACAATTCTAAAGAGAAAACCGAATAATTTATTTGGTATCAAAACGCTTCCTTACATTTTGTCAGTGTCGTCATTTCGTTGACTTTATCACAGATTAACATTGTTATTCTCTTGTTTACACTTGCGCAGCAAAGTGTTCTCCACCATCACGTCAAACAAACTTTCATCTGTAAAACCTGAATCCTTGGCGACTATATTGACAACGCTCCGTGGACCAAAAGAACAGCATAAATTGCATTCTAGGAAGAATGGATTTCCTTCAACGTCTACTCGGAAGTCGAATAAACCAAAATCGTGTAAACCTAACTCTCGAAAAGCTCGGCAACTTTGTTGTTGAATACGATGTATCAGCTTCTCCTCTTTTCTGGGATCAAGGAACCAAGTTTTAGTTTCTGGAGATTCGCCTAGAATAAAAACAAACATAGAAACAAGAAAATTGTTAATGCAGTCTGGTTGAAAACTTTTCCCCTGAAAAAGTATCATGAGTGTTATCGAAGAAACTTGATGACTATTGGCTGCGTTTTCAATGATAAGCAGCAATTTAAACGCGAGACAATAGTAATCGAGAAGTCTCAGAGGATTGCTCAATCTAAAAGAGAGATAAATATGTAGCCTGCCTCTAAAATATTCACCCAAGTTCTGTCCTAAAGCCAAGTTCGCAGTCCTCACTTGAACGAAAAAAGCAAGCAGAAGAAAGGCAGAACAAGAAACGAAAAGTTGTGCGAGAACTTTTCCAACAAACGGAAAGTCAGAGCGTAGGAATTAAGGAAAAGGGGAGAGGAAAAACATGAATGTTGACGTATCGAGGCTCATCTGTTTAAAAAGTAATATGACGACCGTATCTACTGAAATTCAAACATATCTTTCTATGCAAGACAAAGAGTAGTTGGAAAACTTAAAAGGAATAACAAGTTTCTGGAAATGCAGCTCTTTGAAAGCCTTAGTTTGAGTCGAGACGAAGCCGAATTTTGTAGATTACATTTTTTGCTGCCATCATCTTGCAAGACATTTACAATTTGGGGTCACTTTTCCCACAAAGATACTTCTCACACCATTAGCAACGAAGTTTTGGTAGGACTGAAGACATTTGTAGGCTTTGAAGTGTTCTTTACCAACTTACTTGTTGAAAAGTGAAAGTAGTTTACCATATCAGGAAACTCGACCTCTGACCATTTATCCATTGATCAAGGGAAAAAGTTGGCACTTACAGAGTAGGGATCTATTCCTGCATAACATTTAAACCTCTCGCAGTTTGTTTTGTTATTATTATTCTCGGCGCTGAGTAAATCGCAATAACCTCGCAAAGATTGCACGCGATCACCTTCAACAGCCGCCATGTCGTTATTACCTGGTATGTATGACGGCGGCATAGGTACGGTTGCTGTGGGATCACGTGACGCATGCAAAACCTCTATTTGGGATCAAAAAATATCTCTGAGCTAGGAATCCAATTAACTTGAAAATGTGCCCTGAAAATGTGGCTTCGTAGCACATGTGTTAATACCGGTGCTGTTGATGGAATTAAGGACACATATCTCCAGTACTTACCAACAGGTAATCCTTTTTCATTGCAGCTGAGCTTGTCTTCAGTTCTTCGAATGTCATTTTCTCGTACTTTATACTCGATGCACGACAAAGCTTTTAATTCTCCAGTTGCTGCTGATTCAACAACAGCGCAGCGAATTTCCCGTCCCTCTATATAACTGCCGAAAAAAAATGAGAAGAAACGAAGTAGTAAATCGTTGAATATGATTAACTTTTTTAATTGAAAAACGTTCGAAGGCTGCAAAATTACACATAGTCTCTAAGCAAGGTGTGTGGCCCCACTCCAATGAATACAAAGGAGGGGTCGAATTATTATGATAAAGTAATCTAGTACGTTAGGAAAGCCCAACGAGTCTGCATTCCTGAAATAGCTTGTTTAAACGTTCTAAGGCCTGCTTAGTGCACTAATAGGTTTTGCAGCCTCCTGTTATCTTGTTGTCTTGGTATCCCGCCAGAACTTTAGAGTGACCCTTCGTTTCTTTTATACAATTCAGCCATTTTCATGGGAAAACGCGAACGACCACGTCGGGATTGGTCTTCGCTTTACCATTGGATTGGTCGAGGAGGTGATACGAGTATTTTTACCAATCACGAAACATACTTTCGACAGGCAATTAAAAATTGCTTTCTTTTAATTCATACATGTCTCAAACCTCATTAAGAACCATCTGATGTAAGAGCTACCAAAGTTAGACTTCTAGGCTCTTTCTAGAGATGCACAAATTTGCCTTGAGGAAGACGTATGTGAATAAACAGGTTTCCTCATATTTTGAGTCACCTACAGTCCAGTCTACACAAGTTTTTTTTAATGATTCCATGTATTTAAACAAATGCTTTCATCGGCAGATCAGATTCATCCGAGTTGGGATCCGGCTTCCAGTTTCCTTCACACGTAAGCTTGACAACGAGGTGGCTTATCGGCATAATCAATATCATCACGGTTAAAACTGACAGCCAAACCATGTTCACTTGTACACGCCTCCTCGACTTCTACACTTACTTGACAGTAATGCCTACCTTTCAATGATAACATGATCTGAATACGATAACGCATGCTCAATAGCTGCGTTGAGCACCTTGGAGTCTTTCACTAATCGTACCGCTTTGGTGTCTTCTCCTTTACTCGCTTTAACAACACATGGATACGTAATGTGTTCAGACTCTAGAGGGTCACCTGTGACAAAAGAAATCTCTAAGTCAATCCGATTTAAATTACAAATAATTTTTTTATTAGTCGATGGTGAGTTACTAGCGTCAACAAAGCCTCGTAGTTTCATGGGAAAACGGTGTAAAATTGATACAAATTGATGCAATTACTTTTTTAATTTGGAGTGGTGCTATCAAGAGAGGAAAGATTTGGTAAGTTACGAGTCGGGTCCAATTTGAAACTGTTCTCTTTTCTATAAGTCTGTTTTCAACACCTTAAACTACTCAGTATTGTGAACTGTTTTTCGCTAACCACATACTTTATTTTTCACTTGAAAGAAATAGCAGAGCACAGAAGCTTGAGAAGGAGCTCAAAAAGGGGGTCTACAAATTTCGTTTTCCCTTACAAGAGTGTCGCTTGCACCTTTGTGGTAAATAAATCCATCAGGGCATGAAACATCGCCGTAAGAGACCAAAACACCGCGCGTAATTAGTTTGTCCATGGAAAGATATCGTGATTCCACTGATCCACCTACTAATGGAATATCCAATGCATCAAAGAGTGCCCTGTGGATAGGAAAACGAAAAGCCTCTGTCAGTATTAAAGATAAGAGATCTCTGTACTGTATGGCGGAAACTAGTTAAGTTATCATTCTCTTTAATTCATGTAAGGTTTCCTTTCTATTCTACACAATATTTCTATAAGCAATGAAGTTTTCATTCAAATGCGAGGCCATCAAGGCCAATTTGTATATACACAATGAAAGAAAATCATGCGCGCTATTCTGAAAGAGATCTATTTATTGACCACTTTTGCAATATCAAAGAATCAAAGTGTGCCCTGTGATAGGGGCATAGAGCAGTGCGTAAGATCTACAGACGTCAGGGATTTAACGTTTGATAGCGAAAAAAACCACTCAATTGGCGCAAACTACGTTGGTCTGTGCAAACCATGTGAATAAAAAATTTACAAGAACTCGCAAAATGACGCAAAAGTCACGGAGTTAGTCATTAAAACCAAAATTGAAACCTAACAAACCCCTCAGTAAGTGATCTGACCTGTAAGTTGTTATGCATGTTGTAACATGTAAAATCTGAAACAATAAGAGATTTTTTACAGCGAGCCTCGCTTAATGTGATTCCTTGGATGACAAAGACATTGAAAATTTTTTTGAACTTTCCTCAAATGTGCTCCACCAAGGTTTTTTTCGAAAACTACAATGAAAAAGATAGGTCATCGTGCTTGCTTAAGAGATATAATGGTCCAATCTTACCCCAATTTCCCGCAAGTTATGCCTGTACAGTCGGATCTTGATTAGCTGTATGCGGCCGACCAAGTTAAGGAAAGGTAACGGAAGGTGGCGGGGAAGTAATTTTAGATAGAAAGGAAATCATATTTTGTAGAATGCATTTAGACGAAAAAAGGTGACGATGGTAGTGGTAATGGTAGTGGTATGGTAGTGATTCCGAGTTTCTTCTGCTGCGAAAAAACGGAAAATGATGAAAAGTAATCTACCAAGATTTTAGCTATTAGGAGGGCTGTGACGACGTGCTTACCCTCAAAACGTCGGAATCATGCACCATTATCGCAAAAATTATTATTCACTACCATCTCGAATTTGAACATGTCCAAACTGCGTGATAGTGGATAGTAGTTAGTGAAACACACTAACGGACGTCTACTTTTGGGGAGTTACTACATCACGAGCGACGAGCGGGGGAGGAAGAAAAGATAGAAATACGAGCGGTCAGCGGGGAAACAACTTTAATACATCATATAGAAACATATCAGTTGTAGTTGTGGAAAACAATGATGTTTGAAAGCCGAAATGTCAACAGTATACTTCACTACATAAAATGTTAAGCAATTTTTCAAAAGTGTTAATTGCACATATATCTTTCACTGCTGTAATAAACAATGGAGGCATCGGAAAAGGCATCGGTGGCATCCGGAAGGCACCAAGAAGAATTGTATTTACGTTTTGTGACTTGCTGCATGACGTGCGTGACGAAAAAAGAAAACCAAAGCCGTGGTGCCCAAATAATTCTTCCTCCTTGCCCCAAAAAGTTTTCAAATTTTTCGCAACTTCGCCTGTTCCTGTTCGTAGGTCCGGCCAAGCCTCTATGGTCACTGGCCTTCGTATAGCCGCTAACTACGGCTCATAAATACAGGCGTTTAGTGTTAACTTGTAAACCTCCCCGAAGAAGTCCACAACCGTTAGACGAAACGCGTCGGAGAGTAAAGAAATTTCGCAACTACTGTTCGCAGAGTGCTGCTCACCAGTTTGGTTTTAAACCTTTTTTTTAAAAAATTAGATGCGATAGCTATAGCCAGTTTTTCTATGCAAGTTGTCTGGATATACCTTTCGTGCATATATACCTTTCGCCTGCCGTTAGGTTCGGACGTTAAGTTTTCATCCCGAGTGTATTTGCTAAATTGAAAAGGAAAAAAAACACTTCGAACGGAAACGGAATTACTTTAACGTCTGCATCTTTTGAAGAAAGGTCTCGTAAACGAGTGGCCTTGATTATAGATGTATAAACACATAAGCCTTAACTTGGCTGTTTCTCGAAGCTCAGTGTTTTCCTACTTGCCTTTTTTCACGTGAAATGGGGCGATTGAATATATATGACAAACAATAAAAGAACTACGTACAGCTGATGGAAATTTGAAATTTTTTATCTTCGGCTGTGGATACAAACAAATTTTTGTAGAGTTGCTTAGCTTTTAATTTTTCCGGGATCGAAAGTCAAGATTGCAAAATTCAAGTGAAAAGCAAGCCTACTGTGATTAACGCCTTAAACAAGTCAAGGTACTTTCTTTCGTCATACAACAAGTTACATATTGTAAACATCATTCTTCTTGATGCCTTTCGCGGTGTCACCGATGCCTTTCCCGATGCCTCCGTTGGTTAATATAGTAGTAAAAATATTGTTGCATTCAAAGCGTTTGGAAAGTTGCTTAACTTTTTAAGTAGCGAAAGTATAACTCGGTAACATTTTGGCTTTACAACACAATTGTTTTCTGCAAGTTACAAAACGTAAATATAACTGTTCTTGGTGTTTTTCCGAATGCCACCGATGCCTTTTACGATGCGTCCATTGTTTATTACAGCAGTAAAAGATGTATGCACAATCAACACTTTTGAAACATTGATTAACACTTTAGTTAGCGAAGTATACTGTTAACAGGTAATTTAGTGTTAACAACTGGGTTGAAAACGTAAATTAGCCGCCGTAAAGGGTAAAAAAGCTGACATTTCGTTTTTTTAGAATTCCACAATTCCTCCAATCGCTCTGACGAAGGGCTAACGCTCGAAACGTCAGCTTTTTTACCCTTTACGGTGGCTAATTTACGTTTTCAACCCAGTTGTTAACACTAAATTACCTGCTATACTCTCCCACCGACGCAGCACCACAGTTTCTTTAGAAACTTACCCCTTTATACTGTTAGCATTTCGACTTTACAACACTATTGTTTTCTGCAAACATAACTGATCTATCTCTATATGAGGTATTAAAGTTGTTTCCCCGCTGACCACTCTTATTTCGGTGTTTTCTTCTTCCTCCGCTCGTCGCCCGTGATGTAGTAACTCCCCTAATTCTGGGGGTCTAATTTTGGGGCTTAGGCAAAACGTTCCTTTTTCTACGCGATTTGAGCCTGAAAACTTTCTTAACATGTTCTTAAAGTTGTCTCGTATAGTATTTTAACAAATCGAATGAACAGTTTGCTATGATGTGGTATTAAGTTGCTTGTCACATGGTTGTGAGGCTTTCTTTAATGCCGCGAACAATGTGTCCTGCCAACCAATCCTTGTTAACTTTGGCTTCACAAAAAGCAAATTGAAAAAAAAAAAAAAAGACATTCTCTACTGTTTCCCATGCTGGGTATTGTTATTTTTGTATATCACTCTTGTACTTGTATATTTAGGAGTGAGGTTATTGAAACTTTAAGTCTTCAGTGGTAAAACGTTGTCTCTACTTCACAACAGATATGTTCTTAAAATTTAAATTAAAGCTTGAACGTTCTTACACTGATTTCATAAAAAAAAAAGTTTCTTATAAAAAACAAAAGAGTGCAGTTGATGATGGTGCATTATAGTTCGTGTTCAAAAGCGCGTGATAGTTAAAACTATCTTCAACTATCATGACCTTTGGAACAAGGCTGAAAGATCTTCAAATATATATAAATATAGCTCTTTGGCATTAGATATAGCTCTTCGGCATTACAAAGCTCTTTTTTCATGTCCAAATTGAGCACTCTATCTAAGAGGAGTTATGTCTCGCCATTGTGCATCCTCACTACTTTATCTAGTTCGAGTCCTCTGGCATGGCTTGGATGATACCACAATTGTGGGATTATTCGGTGTAACTTAATGCCTAATCCTCTTATCTAGCATTGGCATTGCACTGGTTAGACTCAGAAGGCTAAAACTATACTGTTTTCAGATATCGATATAGATATAGATGTAGATATAGATAGATGGATAAACAGTATAAATATGCACAAATGTAATTATATTGGTGCAAATAGGTAGATACATGGATAGAGAGACATAGATAGCATTTACCTTTACTGTTTTCTTCATCCTTTGTTTTTGATTAGAGCGTTGTGTGGACGTACCGTCTGCCAAAATACAAATTTTTTGAGAAAATTAATTTTATCACGTAAATAGCCCAAGTTTTCACCCTTGTAGCGTGGTTCCCGGGAATGCCCTTTTTGACGTAACAGCCTTTCCCGACCCAGTCCCCAAGCTGCGCAGTCGTGCACATAAAACATTGAGGTTTTACTGCTTGCAGAACTGCGAGGTGTTATTAAATTGCAATACTTCTTTCACTGTGACGATCATTCAAGCAATAAATTTTTTCATCGAAACATTTTTCAGGGTTAGTGGCGCTTCACGGGGAGAGGACGATTAACAAATCTCTTTCTCACCGAGATCCTCAGTGCATCAACTCCCCACAAATTGCAAACAATACAAAAATCGTCTTTCTTGAATCGACACTTCCTTAATAACTCCATTGATAACGCTTCCTTTGACTGATTGTAACACCTATTGCAAATGCCCCATCGTTGTTATTAACATTTTTGTTATTTTTAAGTACAATTGTACATCAAAGCCGAGTTATGGTTACTCCAAACCTTCGCAGGTCAACTTCAGCCACAAATTCTTTTCAATCTAATCAAAGTAAATTATTCAAACTTACGTTTTCCGAAAAAAAGGTCAAAATCTTAATACACGCGCGAGTTATCGAAAAAAAGCATTTGCAAAAAAATTTAATGATTATTTTGTAATTTAAGATTCGAATGAAGCTATATTTTGTCGAAAACAGTAAAGTTTCCTTTTTCGCGTCAATTGTACACCCTCGTTACATGATCGGTAGCCGGTCAAAGTACTCTAACTACTAAATAACCGGCAGTCAGATATTTCTCTGAAACTTTAAGAAATCGAGACAACCTATGCAATAGACACTTAATATATGGTCCCGAGGGAAACAGTTTTGTTCTCCCGAGAGTCCTGATGTTTCCCGAAACGAAGTCGAGGGAAATATCAAGACTCGAGGGAAAACAAAA